TGAGGGGGTTGACAATAACTTTACATGAGGAATCTGGTCTTCGTCCTGGTTCCTGAGAGGTGACTCTAAACCCACAGGGTCAGTAAAGGGTCTTAGTTGTCTCGGAGTCCTCCGGACATCACCTGAGGGTTTGTGCTGACCAGGTGGGGCTGGCCTGGTCTTAGCTGTCTACACAGGTGAGCTGATTCGGTCAACCATGGTGCCTGATGAGTCCCCACAAAAACTCTGCACTGAAAGCTGCCTAGTTTGTGAAACACTGGTGTACGTGGGCCCCCGGCCCTTTCTGGGACACGGAAGCTCCGGGTTGGGTGCCGTCCCAGACCTCAGCCTGTGTATCGTTTCACTTACACTCTTTTCTACAGCTGTAACTGCAAGGAGAGCACTTTCTGTGAGTCTTCCCAGCAGATTGATGCACCCAGGGTAGGAGTGGGAGCCAGCAGGTCAGAGGTAGGGGGGCTGAGGACCCCTGAGCCTATGGCTGGTATCCCGACACAGTGAAGAACCCCAAATTTGTGGCTAGCAGGTCAGATGTGAGGGAGCTCCGGGGACTCAGCTTTGTGGCTGGTGTCTGACGTCTCAGGCTTAATTGGTGGTCTGCAGGATGTGGCCTTTAAGCTCTGAGTACTGACCCAGCCCAGCGTTAGGGTCATAGGCAGCTGATGTCATCAGAAGTGATGGGAAGGCGGGCTTTGGATTTATGCTGGTTACTGTCCCTCAGTTGTACCAGGGAACGTGGCCTTACCTCTTAGGGTCGCCCACTTTCACTGTCTTCTGCCCTTTGTCACATGTAGCTCAAAGCCCTGGCTCTTGGCTACCCAGGAGAGTTGTGAACCCAGCTTCAGAAGGAGACCCCCTGTTTTCTGAGCACAGCCTGGGGTGGCTCCAAGGTGGGGTCGCCCCCCTAGCAGGGGCAGCCAGATGCTCTGTCGCTACCCCGCAGCCACTGTGATGTAGACTGGGGGCCACATGATGGACTGTAACTTGGCCCGTTACTGCTCACAAACAAAGCCATCCCGTGTAGCCGTAGCCCCAGCCTAGCCCCTCGAGGCCAGCCTCATCCAGCAGCTCAGCAGTGGTTTGAGAGTGGGGGGGGTCCTGAGTTTCAGGCCGTTAATGTTAATCACACGGTCTGCCCAGCCCAGTGGCTTCTCCAGGGCTGCGTGTTCTTTGCTTAAGCAGATGGCTCTCTGCTTTCCAGGCCTGTAGACCTGTCAAAGGAAACTAACTTATGTAGATTCTGTGTAGAGCTTAATACAGTTTATGCAGTGCCCTGTAAGTATGTTGTTTGCTAAATGTTGGCCAAAGTCCCTATATGCTACAGCATCATGAAAGTGAACTGAATTCCCTGGAGCCTCTCGGATGCTCAGGAGCAGGGGACCTGTGGAGTAGGATAGGCCCGTCCACATGAAACACCTAAGCCTAGGAGAGCAGCAGAATGGAGAAGTGTGACTTCTAAGGCTTGGCCGTGCCAGTGGTCTCACCTTCACCGTTGCTCATGCTCTTGGCTGCCTGAGCCCTGTCTGAGCATGACTCAGCTTGCAGTCTGCACTGCATGCAGCCCAGGTGATTGGGCTCTGTACTTGGCTGAAGATTGTGGAGGGGTTGTGTTTTCCATGCATTTTCTCTGCCAAAGCATCCTGTTAGTGCTCCCTTCTTGTCCGGATGTTTTAGTCTCGAGTATCTGCATATTAGTACACATTTTACTCATGTTGTTTGGGATATGCACAGCAGAACACACACTTAGTCACCTGTGTCCACATGTACATTCAGTGACATGGAGGACACTCTGAGGTGTACAACCATTCTCACTCTGTGTTTCTGAGTCATTCCTCTACTGTTAACATACACTCACTACCCCTAAGTTTTTTATCTAATCTTTTGAGTTGCTGTGAACAGTTTGATTCCAGATAGGTAGATCTTAAGAGAAGATAATTTTCAAGGCAGACTTTTTTTTCTTTTTTACTAGCTGAATTATTATTTGGTTTTAAGACAACTTCATGGTATATTTTTAGCTTAAGGTTTAAAGATTATCTCAGAGCCATAGTTTCAGGGGTTCATCTATCCTCCATGGCTCCAAAAAGTCTAGATTCTATGAGAATTTGAACTTCTGGTGTGCATTTTCCCCCCTTTTGATCAGGGTGCTTCTATAGTCTGTGCTGTTTTTATTTTCTTATGGAAAGATGTTCTGCCACAGCAGCTGCTTTTCCATGGCCGCTCCTCGCTGTGTGTAGCAGCGTTTGCCTCTTAGCTGGGTTCACTGTGCTGGGTACTTCCTCAGTGGCTGTTTCTCCCCTTCCTGAAGACCATGCAGGTTGCATGGGTGGGTGGTAGGATGTCATGATTGTCTCTTTTCCAGGCTGGCCACAGTCCCTGAGTACACACAGTTGGCTTGGGCTGCTGTGATAGCACTGTGAATGGCCTTACAGGTTAGAGCTCATGGTAACAGTGGGCTCAAGATACAGAGACAGAGGGCTGTGTTATCAATCTCATTACCTCAGTTTTCCTGAAAATGGAGATTGGACTAGAGGAAAATTGGGGGGCCTACCTTCTGCTCAGTACTGCCTGGTGAGTGAGGAGAACATGCATCCTCATCTGCTGACATGTTGTCAAAGCCAGCACCCGAGTGTTGTTGTCTGCTGTCCTGGGCTGGACAGCTCAACAAGGCAGGGCGTCTGACCTATCCCCTTCTCGCTGGTCACTCTGGCATCCATCTCTGAGCACCCAGTAAGAAGGAAATGGAAGCAATCAGAAGACAAGAGAAACAGATTGCCTCGCCGATGTGTTCAATGAAGAAATCCAGGCAGTCATGATTCTCACACAGTTCTGGGGCCACTACTGGAGTGACTGAAGCCAGTGGGGGCACAGCCAGGTGGCGAGTAGGAAGCCCAGCTTTTGTTACATTTGTGCATGAGCTGAGAAAGGGAGGGAGCTCCCTTAGGTTGTGTCTGGCATCTCTAAGCTGCTTCTGTAGGGTGGGGATTACATCATAATCACGTTTATATGTGGTTCCATATGACTACAGGTTAAATGTGTGCAGGGAGGGATACAAAGATGTTGACCCTCAGTGTGTCTCATTAGAATACTGAAGCTCCCCCCAGGGTGTGCCATTTACTGTGCAGATAGCGCCTTTCACCCAGATCAGGCTGTTGTCAATGGTGGATGGCCTTCCTCCGGTGTCTCCAAGTTTTCTGGCCATCTGGCTTTTCTTAAAAGTGACATTTTTGCTCCCCTTGTGTCATTGGCAGGAACTGTGAGACACTTTAAGGAACACTGTGCAGCAGTTGCTTTGTGAAGTGCTACCCTGTGTCAGTCGCCCTTGTTGGTTGTTGGCCAGTCAGCTCTGACACACAGTGACCTTACGTACAGCAGAAGGAAGCAGTGCCCGGCCCTGTGCCACTGCCACAATCCCCTATGTGTTTGAATCCAGCGCTGTGGCTCCTGTGGCCCGTCCATCTCACTGGATGTTTCCCTCACTCTGCTGACCTTCTCCTCTCTCTTTTGTTTGTAGTATGATCTCAAAACCGAAACTGCTCCTCTGGTTGTTGTTGTCTCAACCACGGGCACCGGGGACCCGCCGGACACAGCCCGCAAGTTTGTTAAAGAGATACAGGACAAGACGCTGCCTGCTGATTTCTTGGCTCACCTGCACTATGGATTGCTGGGTAATGAACTGTATGTTCCATTCTGACTGTGCTAGGTGACCATGCTGGATGACAGTGCCGGGTGACCATGCCAGGTGACAGTGCTGGGTGACTGTGGCAGGTGACTGCACTGTGAGACAGTGCCACGTGACCGCGTTGGGTGACAGTGCCAGGGGACAGTACCGGGTAACTACACTGGGTGACCATGCTGGGTTGACAGTGCTGGGTGACCGCGCTTTGAGGCAGTGCCAGGTGACCACTCCGGGTGATCAGGCCGGGTGACCACACCAGGTGACCAAGCCAGATTACAGTGCTAGGTGACCACGCTGGCTGACAATGTTGTGTGATTGTTCCATGAGACTGGCCATAACTCCAGGGTCTGGAAGCTTCTTTCACAAACGTGAAACAAAATTTTGTGGGTTTGTCATTTTATTTTTTTAAAAATGAGTGTGTCAAACATTAGTAAATACATACGTAAGTGTAAGTAGGTATGGACTGGGAAGAATGCCTGCCCCCTTCTCCCTACGGGGCGCATCTCTATGCAGCCCTTTCCACAAAAATATGAAAGTCACTACCGTGGAGTCAATTCCACAGTGCCTCTAGAGGACAGGGTGAAACTGCACCAGAGGGTTTCCAAGGCTGTCGTCTTCACAGAAGCAAAGCCCAAACCAAACTCACTGCTGTAGAGTCAATCCTGACTCACAGCACCAGTAGAGGACAGACTGGGACTGCCCCAAGGGTTTCCGGCTTCAATCTTCATGGAAGGAAAGCCAAAACTAACCCACTACTGTCGAGTTGTTTCTGACTCACAGCGCCACTAAAGGCCAGAGTAGAACTGCCCCAGAGGGTTTCCAAGGGTGTTAGTCTTCACAGAAACAGACTGCCTCATCTTTCTCCCACAGAGCAGTTGGTGGGTTTGAAGTGCTGACCTTTTGATTAGAACCAGTGTCCAACCACTGTGGTACTAGGGCTCCTGAGGGGCAGGTGGTAAATAATTAAGGCTTTGTAGGCCATGTTGTCTCCATTGCAGCTACTGGTCTCTGCTGTTGTAGTTCAGAAGCAACACATGAGCAGTTGGATGTGGCTGTGTTCTAAGAAAACTTAAAAAAACAGGCAACAGTGGGGTTTGCCCCACAGACTGTAATTTGCATAACCCTGCTCTGGATCATACACATGGACTTCACCAGATGGAGTACACAGGAAACAGATTGACTACATCTGTGGCAAGAGGTGATGGAGAAGCTTGATATCTTCAGTCAAAACAAGGCCAGGAGCTGATTGTGGAACAGACCATCAACTGCACGTATGCAAGTTCAAGATGAAGTTAAAAACAATTAAAACAAGTCCACAACAGCCAGTATATGGCTTTAATTATATCCCTCCTGAATTTAGAGACCATCTAAGAAATAGATTTGATGCATTGAACACCAGTGACCAAAAACCAGAGGAATTGTGGGATGACATCAAGAACATCATCCATGAAGAAACCAAGAGGTCATTAAAAATACAAGAAGGGGAGAAGAGACCAAAATGGATGTCGGAGAGGCTCTGAAACTTGCCCTTGAACAGAGTGTAGCTAAAGCAAATGGAAGAAATGACCAGATAAAAGAGCTAAACAGAAGATTTCAAAGAGCAGCTCGAAAAGACAAAGCCAATTATTGTACTAAAATGTGGAAAGACATGGAGTTGGAAAGCCATGAAGGAAGAACATGCTCAGCATTTCTCAGGCTGGAAGAACTGAAAAGGATATTTGAGCCTCGAGTTGCAGTATTGAAAGATTCTATGGGGAATACGTTGAATGATGCAGGAAACATCAAAAGAAGATGGAGGGGATACACAGAGTCACTATACCAAAAAGAATTTCAAGACGTAGCATATGATCAAGAACCAATTGTATGGAAGAAGTTGAAGCTGCACTGAAGGAACTGGCGAAGAAAAAGGCTCCAGGAATTGACGGGATACCCAGTGAGATGATTCTTCAAACAGATGCTGCACTAGAGGCACTCACTTGGCTGTGCCAAGAGATTTGTAAGACAACTACCTGGCCAACCGACTGGAAGAGATCCATATTTGTACCCATTCTAAAGAAAGGTGATCCCACAGAATGTGGAAATTATCAAATAATATTAATATCACATAGAAGCAAAATCTTACTAAAGATAGTTCAAAAATGGTTCTCTCTCTCACTGCCATAGAGTTGGATCCGACTCAGAGCGACCTCTCTTTGGGTTTCGGAGGCAGTATCACTACGGAAGTAGACTGCCCAATCTTCTTTCCAAGGAATGGCTTGTGGGTTTGAACTGCCAGCCTTCTAGTCAGCAATCAGATGCCTTAGTCACTACACCACCAGAGCTCAAAATGGTTACAGCAGTATATTGACAGAGAACTTTCAGATATGCAAGCTAGATTCAGAAGAGGACATGGAATGAGAGATATCATTGCTAATGTCAGATGGATCTTGGCTGAAAGCAAAGAACACCCAAAAGTTGTTTACTTGTGTTTTAGTGACTGTGCAAAAGCATTCAATAGTGTGGATCATGACAAATTATGGATAACTTTGAGAAGAACGGGGATTCCAGTATACTTAGTTGTGCTCATGAGGAACTTGTACATAGACCAGGAGGCTGTTGTTCAAACAGAACAAGGGGATACTACATGGTTTAAAATCAAGAAGGGAGTGTGTCAGGATTATATCCTTTCACCATACTTACTCAATCTGTATGCTGAACAAATAAATCTGAGAAGCTGGACTGTATGAAGAAGAATGTGGCATCAGGATTGGAGGAAGACTCATTAACGACCTGCGTTATGTGGAGAACACAACTTTGCTCGCTGAAAGTGAGGATGACTTGAAATACTTACTGATGAAGATCGATGACTGCAGTCTGCAGTATGGATTACACCTCCATAAAAAAAAAAAAAAAAATCACAACATAAGGAGCATCATGATAAATGGAGAAAAGATTGAAGTTGTCAGAGACTTTATATTACTTAGTTCTACAATCAACACCAATGGAAGCAGCAGTCAAGATACCAGATGTCATGTAGCATTGGTCAGATCTGCTGCAAAGGACCTCTTTCAAGTGCTGAAGAGCAAAGATGTTTCCTTGAAGACGAAGGTATGCTTGACACATGGCCATGGTATTTTCAATCGCCTCATATGCATATGAGAGCTAGGCAATGAAAAAGGAAGACCGAAAAAGAGTTGATGCTTTTGAGTTGTGTTGGTGAAGAATGCTGAAAGTACCACGGACTGCTAAAAGAACTAACACATCTGTCCTGGATGAAGTGCAGCCGGAATGCTCCTTGGAAGTGAGAATGGCAAGACTTCGTCTCACCTCCTTTGGTCATGTTGTGAGAAGGGACCATTCCCTGGAGAAGGATATCATGCTTGGCAAAGTGGAGGGACAATGAAAAAGGGGAAGGCCCTCAACAAGATGAATTGACACAGTGGTTGCAACGATGGGCTCAGGTTCAGCAAGGATCGTGGGGCTGGCACAGGACCTGGCAGTGTTTCGTTCAGCTGTGCATGAGGTCACTGTGAGTCGTAGACAACTGGATGGCATCTAACAACAAAGCCCTGGATCAGTGGAGTCTACAAATACAGATGTTATGTGTTTTCAAACCCAGCTCATCTTTTTTAAAAATTTCTGTATTTTCACTCATTCTTGGGAATCAAGATTCTTTGACATGAAGATGTGAACTATGTTAATTAAGTCATTAGAGTTACTTGCTTTGTTTCTGTGTGGTACATTTATATTGTGAGACAAAATAATGTGCCTTGTACGTAATATTCATGAAGGAAAAGTTCGTAAGACATGAAACTATAATTATCTCTTGCTTTGTTGATAAAAGCACAAGACTGGGTCTGGAAAGACTGGGTTGATGAGACTCAGTCTGGAAAGATGGCAGAATAGGCAGACAAGCTACACAGACCCTTTGCAACAAAGCGATGAGAAACTAATTGAAAGTGACAAAGAGGATGATCCTGAAACCCTGAATTTTGAAGGGAAGGATAGAGAAGTGATTAAATACCAACTACAAGAAGAACCTGAATGAAAACATAAGGATACAAAAAGAGCTGAGGACTGCCAGTTGTCCTGAGGGCACAGCCATTTTGAATATTTGCAGGCAGCATCCCAGTAACAACCTAAGAGTCGGCTCTGCTCACCAAGGACTACTTGGCACGGGCTGCACTGGTGCCTGATAACCAGAAAGGACAACAGTGAAGAAGGAGAGAAACAGAGTTGAGGACTTTTGGCTATACAGAGGATGCCCCCATTTTGAATATCCAAGTGGCCTTCTGACCTAGACAGCAACCTAAGAATAGGCTCTGCTTGCCAAGGACAGCATGGCAACTGCACTGGAGGCTGACAACTAGTAACTTGCGATATTTCCCTTATTGCTCTTACATCCCACACCCTGTTGGTGAACAGAGGTGTAGCCATCCTGCCTCCACCTGTCTTCTTTTGCATTTACATTTTATTTTTTATTTATTGTGATTTGGGTGAAAGTTTACAGAGCAAATTCACTTTCCATACAGCAGCTTACATACACTTTGTCTCATGACACTGACTACAGTTTTCCATAGTGCAACAGCTCCCCTCCCACTTCTTCCCCATAGTTACCTCTTCCCTGTGTCCTTCCCTCCGTGCACTCCTGCCCCCTGAGCTATCTCCCTGTGCATACACAGCCCTTCTGTTCTCCTATGATTGATCTCTCCAAGGAGTGTATCTACCCAGTGTAAATGTTCAGTTCATATGTCTGTCTTTTGTTTGGCTGGAAGCCACAGGAGTGGGTTCAATTCCAGATCTGAAGGGCAGCTAAAGGCCATGGTGTCAGTGGTTCCACCAGGCTCTATCAGACCAGGAAACCTGGTCCTTTTTTTTTTAATGATTTTGAGTTTTGTTCCACATTGTTCTCTCACTCTATGCAGGATCTCCTAAATAGATCCCCCTCCGAGTGGTTGACAGTGGTAGCCAGGCACCATCTAGTTCTTCTGGTCTCATAGTTGTATAGGC